TAATGATGATACATCTACTAGTATTTAAAATCATATTACTAGGATATATGTACATGACTTTGAGAGCTCTTTTCTTATTTAGAAATGGCTAACATCTCTTTGTGGACTAAGTTTGATTCATCTCCATGTAGTTCCATAGCTGGGTTTATAATCCTAATTTTTTTTTTAATTGACTTTTGCAATTATTGTGTGATGCGTCATGAAGGTCAGTTTCTCAACTGGCATGATGTGAGAAAAAAGTCATCAATTACTAAAAGCGTAATGAAGGAGTATCAGTTGATCTGCAGTGTGATGTTGGGCTCAGAGTGGTCCTGGAAAGGACTGCTGTTGTTAACAATGACTGACAACATTTCAGCAACTTGTGTAGAAGTCATTGGAAGGGCTGAATAAGGTGTTGTTGACATACCTTGCTTAAGACATTTAGCCAAAAAACAACCTTTCTCTTGGCTAGGACGGGGATTTTTGTACAGATTGTTTAAATGGCAGTCCATCTCTCTCTCTCTCTCACCAGCTTTTTCAAGGTCTACCACCTCCAGGTTCATCATACTTCATGATTAGGAGTCCAGACCTAAGCATTTTCCCATGTAGTAGACTTGTTTTTCTGTTTGTTTTATTTTCATGCAAGAATGTAACATTAATGTATCTGTTACAGCATTATCTTGAGCTCAGGCAAAACAATTAAAAATTTATGCCATAGCACTAAATCACAGTACAACAAACTTGTATGAAATATTTTACTGTAATAAATCACAGGAAATGAAGTACCCTGTTTCCTAATTCATGACTGATACATTGAAATATTTGAAAATAACATAGAACCACTACATTTCACAAACCATGTCTGTGGTAAAGGGGGTTAGTTTCTAAAGAAATTGGTGCTGCATCAGTGGGGGTAACAAGGTAATTTGGTCTCGTCAGCTGTGTCGATGTAAATTGGCCACTGTAAAGGGTCTGAAAGCTGACGTTTTGAGCATTAGCCCTTCACCATTCGCTCTGACAAAGCACCAATACTCGAAACATCAGCTTTGAGACCCTTTACAATGGCCAATAGACCACTTTCATAAATGGCTGCCAGATTAATATTCTTTTGTTTAAATTTAAATTAGCCCTACTGGCCTCGATCTCCAGTACAAAAATTCAAAAGAATACGTTATCTCAAGCGAGACCAGAAAGGCTAATTTAAATTCAAACAAAAGATAACATATCTATGGACAAGATGATGCGTCTCAAAAATATAGTACACGTCACACGGAAAGCGATAAAAACTCGCATATTTTTAAGAGTTTCAACACATCTCCTTCTTGTAAGGCTTACGGTAATTTGCGAAACGAAACGAAACGAAGCGAAACGAAGCGAAACGGGATCAATTTACGTTTCTGGGCAATCCAGCACGTTAATGACATATAGAGGACGAATAAACAATCGTACACTGTAGTAGTCTTATCAAGGACGATTAAGTAATCCACTTCGATTAGCACCAATCGAGCTCGAAATGCAACACAAACAATGATCGGATAAATTGACGTTTATCAGCCTTGACTAAAACTAATCGAGCTCGAAATAAACACACGGCCCCTAACTGTATCTAATACGATTGATTCGTTCTGCGTACCACAAGCGAATCTCAGCCGATCGACCCGTGTTCCCCATTCGAACTCGGTTTCTCAGCCCGAGCGCAAATTGGCGCCTCACCTATGAGGACCGAGATCCCTTGGGTACCCTGCATCACGGTCAAGTTTTAGTTTCGACACACCGTAAAGAGAATTTATGCATTTTTATCACCTTAAGGAGAATTCCTTAGTTTTTAGTTGACGCCACCCTAGTCTGCTGCATAGGTTGACTGAAACGTTTAGGTTCATTAAAAGTGGCCTTTATTGTGGCTAACTCAGACAGGGGAAAATCTCAGGTGGAGAAGGTAACGTTACTCATCCCATTCTTAAAATAGTGTTTACATTAGAATTAGCTTGAAAGGTTTTCGGGCTAACGTTTTTCGTGGAAGAAATTGTAACTTCAGAATGGCTAATGTTACACGAGCTTCTTATGGCTGACCCAATTACACGGCAATCATATAATCTCGCTGAAGTTCTCCATTGCATTCCTGATACTATAAACCCTTTCAGGAAACGATTTTAGGAGAGCTGCTTGTATCTGATTTAAGTAGACGGTAATCATAAAAAGTTACTGAAGTTCTCAATTCCTGATACTTATGAACGCTTTCTTTTAGAATATTTCAAACCAATATTATTGTAAACAATATTACCTCGGATGCATAGCCCTTTTATTGTAGTCAGAAAGGGAGGTTTACCTTAAATAACGCTCATCTTGTGCAGCTCATAGACTCAATTTCATTGACAATGATGAACTTGTAGTTTATTCTGTGGGGTACTCAGTTTTAAACTTTCAATGAAACATGAATATGATGCCTTAAACTGGGGAAAGACATTAATGTGAATCCATGTTTTTAATAACTTTTTTAACTATAACAGGTTGAAACGCAGACATTACAGAATTCAGGTTTAATTACGATACGTTTCATATTAATTTCTATTATTCATGTTCTTTCTTTCTTTTTTGTCTTCTCTCTTTTCTGTTTCTGTTGTCCTTTCTTTTCCTTTATTTTTTGGGCGGTCTCCATCCAATTTATTGCTTGTGAAATCTGGAAGTAAAGAAGATGTAGTTCCTTAAGCATGTCAAATGGGATGAAAACATAATAACAAAAATTGTTATCATTATTATAATACCAATGATTTTTTAAAATTATTTAGCTCAAAATGCAGCCTTTGCAAAAGTAGCTTTATGGTACATTTTGGCAGGATTTTCAATGTCAAGGGCTGGTTCATAGATTAGGCCTTCAGGAATTGCTCTGAACCACGGCAGTTGGATTAGGCTGGCAATCCTTAAAAATTGTCAGAAGAGAAGTTTCTCTTCATACCTTCAACAGTTTTAGAGAGATCTTCTACCAATTCTGGCTTATTCCCTCTAAAGCTAACCTGCAAGAAATGAAGAAAGGAGACGGGAGGTATGCCTCCCAGGCGACAGGTTGCCTGGGTTGCAGACCTCCCTTTATTTTGCTGACCAATGCCTTAGCCATGAACTTTCGAATTTATCTCATACTAGACTAATGAATTTTGGGAAAATTGTGCCAAATATCACTGGTGTTTTGTTAAGTGAAGTTTAGTTGCTTCAAGGGTTCATTCAATTATTCTTGAATAGCAGCTTTACTCAAGAGTTTCTTTCTTAAAAATATATTTCCTTAACCCATGAGTCAGTATATGAGAAATGATTTACTTTCTTTTTTATTTCTTAAGCCCAAGAAATGTAGCAATGGTCTTGCTTTGTATGCCAAGATGTATGTGAATGTGTATGCTAAAATTTATCTTAATAATATGTATGCCAATATGTATGTCGATATGTGTGCTGAATTATTATGTGCCTAAGAACCTGGAGGCAAAGATCCTCGCTCACAAAGAGCATGGATACAGAGGATCTGGCTCAATTAGGAACCGACATGTGCTAAAATGTCATGTGCCGAAGAACCTGGAGGCAAAGATCCTCGCTCACGAAGAGCATGGACACAGAGGACCTGGCTCAATTAGGAACCGAAATGTTACGTGCCTAAGAACCTGGAGGCAAAGATCCTCGCGCACGAAGAGCATGGACACAAAGGACCTGGCTCAATTAGGAACCGACATGTGCTAAAATGTTATGTGCCTAAGAACCTGGAGGCAAAGATCCTCGCTCACGAAGAGCATGGACACATTTGAATAGCAGCTTTACTCAAGAGTTTCTTTCTTAAAAATATATTTCCTTAACCCATGAGTCAGTATATGAGAAATGATTTACTTTCTTTTTTATTTCTTAAGCCCAAGAAATGTAGCAATGGTCTTGCTTTGTATGCTAAGATGTATGTGAATGTGTATGCTAAAATGTATGTTAATAATATGTATGCCAATATGTATGTCGATATGTGTGCTGAATTATTATGTGCCTAAGAACCTGGAGGCAAAGATCCTCGCTCACAAAGAGCATGGACACAGAGGACCTGGCTCAATTAGGAACCGACATGTGCTAAAATGTTATGTGCCTAAGAACCTGGAGGCAAAGATCCTCGCTCACGAAGAGCATGGACACAGAGGACCTGGCTCAATTAGGAACCGACATGTGCTAAAATGTTATGTGCCTAAGAACCTGGAGGCAAAGATCCTCGCTCACGAAGAGCATGGACACAGAGGACCTGGCTCAATTAGGAACCGAAATGTTACGTGCCTAAGAACCTGGAGGCAAAGATCCTCGCTCAGGAAGAGCATGGACACAAAGGACCTGGCTCAATTAGGAACCGACGTGTGCTTAAATGTTGTTTCCCTAATAACCTTTTGTCTCAGAGAAAGAGGAGCCTAAGATTCTCCCTTACCATTTTGGACGGAAACAGAAGACCTTAGCAGGCCGTGTTGTTTGATGCTTGATTAGCGCTAACCTTTGGTCAACTGGGGCCAAAACCACGGCATTGCCTCGGTAGTTAACGGTGATTATTGCTAATGTGGCTCTCAACATCTTGGCTCCGGCCTTCAGTAACTGTATACAAAAGAAAAATGGCTGTGCCACGCAATGTTCACCATTTCTTCCATACCTTATCACTTGACTCCTTTTCGTCTCTTTTTTTGTTTTCCTTGACTGGAGCATAAAAACTATGATTTAATAAAACTGAAAACCTTAATTGCCATAAATTTTAGCCTTATATATCTTTAAATTTTCCATATTATTTTGACAGAAATATCCTCAAATGAGTCAAAGATTATTTTCCAAGGAATTTCTTGTCTTATACAGACGGTGATTTCTGATGTTTCATTGCACTTTAATTGATGTAGCCTTGGCTCCTATAGAACACTAACCCATTCAAAAATGTGAAGAACCTCATCACCCTGCAGCTGGTCACAGTGCTTAAGGACATTGTTGCCCCTTTGAAGGTTGAAATACAATGGAATTGTTTTGGAACTTCCCAACCAGTCATACACTTCCTGTCAAGGATAAAATTTTGTGGCTATTAACATAGAGGTCAATTGACAACTCTTCTATATGTCATTACCAAACATTTACTTGGAAGCATGCTGTTTCCTTGAATTTTCGCATCCATTGTTTTCCCTCTAGGTCTGTCACCTTTATTTGCCGACCTAATTGTGGTTCCTCAGATATCCGCAATTCTCTTGCTTTCCTTATCTGTATAAAAGTAGAGAAATCAATGTATTAACCATCAATTGTGTTCTTCATTCTATCCTTTAATTTAGTCCACAATGTTAAGAAAAAGGATGCAGTACGATTGTTGTTTTTCTTTGGGGTGTGAAAAGTCTTGTAACCTGTACGTACATGGGATGGGATTTAGAATATGTACTATTAATTGTATTCCTTTCATCGCTTGTGTTTGTATTTCGGTATTTTGCTTTTTCCATTAACTTTTTCATTTTTCTTCAACGATGATACTTACATTACCCAAAGTTTGTTATGTCAGAACTAATTCTAAATACCATGCTTGTTCCTTGTTTTAGGTGATGAAACTCACCTCATTTTCCAGTTCCTCCTCTTGATCTTTTCTTTCTTGTCTCCACTTGGCATACTGTTATCTGTATGTCAAAATAATCACCACTACTATGAGCACTAGTCATGATATACGAAGCAATGCACTTTAAAGCTATACTCTTAAAGCAATGATGTATTAGAGAAGCATCACACTGTATGTAGCTTGGCAAGTACAGTGCAAGGGTGGTTTTGTGGCTATATAGCATAAACCCGTTTATATCTACTGGCAGCAGTGTTGTTTGAGTTCTGTTTTTTGTTAGACACCTCCACTATACTATAATTAACGCACTGAGTGTTACACTGATTACTTAATGAAGCATGCCTCTGGTACAGTTGATTATACTAGTTTCAAATATTACCTTTGTCGACCCTCCTCCGTAATATGCAAAGCTGCCCTTTTGATTATGTTTTCTAAAATGTCATCATGTGCATCTGTTTCTGTATCTAAAAGTATACATTAATTTTTATAAATTATGTTCAGTGCACCTAGATAACGCTTCATTTGTAGGAACATAAGCTCTTTCTCTCTCTCGAAACTAATTTTGGCTTTTTGGAACAAATGGTCTTAATTCTTCATTGCTTCAAGTCAGAAAGTGGTGTCGGTGTAATATACACATTATTATGCTAACTCTGCCATACCTGCAATTTCGCCTAACAAGGTGGCATTCCTGCCTGTGGATGGTACAAGAAATAGAATCCGGTCTTTTCTCTGATCACCACCGTATGCATGAAAAACTGAAAATAAGGAAAAATGACACTTGTTTTTCATTGCAGACATGATCTCCTTGAAATATTTGGTAGTAGGAGGCAGTGTTTGAAAACTCATTCCAAGATCAGGTTGAAGACCAAGCAATTGTGGTTTGTGATTATTGTCATCATCAAACCAATTTTGATCTGGGCTTTCCCCCAATCATGGGGGTGCCACGATTTATCATACTTTGCCAACAATAATTCTTACTCCCATTTACTTCGAACATTACCAGTATGATGCACTGATATCACTACAATTATTATTTGGCCCTTGAAGATTATTTTAACCAGAGGTCAAACTACTGGACATTGCTTTCTTTCATTATCAAGCTCTGTGTAACATCATTTGTGTCCCTCCCTCCTCACCCCCCCTATTTTACTGAATCATATCATTATGGTTTTAATGGCTCTTCCACACAAAGCCGTTTTGTGCTCCCCAAGGGAGGGGCATCGTGTATAATTTGCGAAACTTCCGATTCAGACGCTACTTTCATGAATTTCAAGGCACATATTACTGGTGCAACGAAACTGAATGTAGCTCTAATGGATGGGTTCTCGTATACCTTTTCTTCCCTCACAGGATCAGGTCTCAGTTACCCAAAATAGCCAAATCTTCCCGTGTCCACATTCCATTTTGTGTAGTATCCTTCTATAAAATGAGTATTATATTTTACATGGGTTCAACGGAGTATTTCAAAGTAAAATAACATTACTTTGTGGGTACTCTAAGATCATTCAAAATGAGGGGTGAGACATAATTCATTTTGTACATATTGGTGTAGCACTCCATATTAATGCATAGATGAACTGCTTGTAACTATTACAGTCAGTAACCCTCTTTTTACTTGAACTTTTTATTACCCTTCAGTCTTCTATAGTAGTCTTTTTCCATTATGTTATCACAAATTAGTCTATATACACACTCAGTCATCTTGGCATTTCAGGCAATCTGATTGGTTTGCTATCTCTAGCTATTCAACAACATACACCTCCGAGCCAAAGGATAATGTGAAAAACAAAATGGTGGGGATAAACTCGTGTTTTACTAAAGTTTCAGAAGCAGAAATTTTACAAATATCTTCAAATGCCTTCAAATGTTTTCCATTTTAGTTATTGTCGAGATCACTTCAAGCATTTATCCTAAAACGTATCGGCGAATTGTGGCCTTTGGGAATATTTACCTCGATTTCAAAGAATAATTGCTAATTGTACCTCAACATGGCTCCTCTCTGGGCATCAACCCTCTGTCTTGAATTGACAAAGACAACAATCATTCCTTTATTTTCCTCGCGTGCTTGCCAACATAACTGAAGATACAAAGGAATAAAATCATTCTTTGTTTTCTATAGAAATGAAATGCACATTACGTTCAAGTTACATATATTTAATTCTATATTCCGGTTCATAAAATTCATGCAGCATTTGGGAACATGGTTCTGCCTTGAAAAAAAACCAAATCCTTATGATTGAATATTACTCAAATGCTTTACACTTGGCATCATTGAGCACATAAAATTGCTGAGCCAACACATCTTCCCCTTGTTCTTCAATCATCATCATGTTGAGTACGGTATCTCTTCTTCATGCACATAGCTGTAATGAAATGCACATTATCAAGGAATGTGCACTTTTCTTGCATGTCTACGCTAGGGCTTTATACCTCCCCAAAGTGGTGGATCAAAAAGGACAACATCGCTGTATTTTCACCTCCCATCTGAAGTAGTTGTTGGCATTTTACAACCTTATCCTCCCTACACACTCTGCTTGATGACTCTGTAATAGGAGGCAGACTATTTGATATCAAGGAAGTTGAATTTAGTTATGCTGACCCGGTAATCACCAGTAATCACCAGTAATCCGCTCTCACCAGTAATCTGTCAACGACACCTTACTTTTCTTTGAAGAGTTTGAGGAGGGTTGGGGACATCCTGTAATGCTGACTTCAATTTCATTTATAATTTTCTTATTCTTTACGTATGACGCACGATCCTCGCAGTAGATAGCGCTATTTAAGCAATACCGAAAATCACACCTGAAAAAAATCAGGCCTGTACGAGATTCGAACCACTGACCTCTGCGATACTAGTGCAGCGCTCTACCAATTGAGCTAACAAGCCAACAGGGAGCAGGCCGTTAAGTTGATTCGTAATAAACCCGTGAAAGTGATATCTACTGCAAGGATCGTGCATCATATGTATCTAATACCGCAGTACAAAATATATGAACTTCATATATTTCATTGTATCTCATTACCACTTTCACGGGAAGAAGGCGCTGGCCAAAAGAATTCGTGGCTCTAAAATCCTTTTTTCCCTGCTAGGGCGCGTGCGTCTAGGTTAGAGAAGAAAATGTAGGCCTTATAAAGTGTACCAAGAGGAAGACGAACAAAAGGGGGAAGAATATATTAGTCCTTCAAGGCAGATTTTTCATTTGGGTGCGATTATGGAGCATATAATAAGAAAACATATGCTCCCAGTTAAAGGGAGAAAAAGTTTTTGGATATCATGTGATCTGAAATATCTTGAGCAACTAATAACCCAAACTACCGCTAACCCTGGTCATACAGAGCCCCATAATCGTGACAAAGAAAAATTGTTTGAAAAAAGAAATTTCCCAAGGAAATTGGGAAACATGGTTGTAATGGAATATCATGTTATAACGTTACAGTTATACTTGATAAAAAGAATTATCAAATAATCAGAGCGTTTCCGACGCCATGAAATGCGTGTCACGGATACATAATTTGGAGGGAAACTCCAGATTCGTGCCTGAGGCTATGCTTCTATTTTTTCATGATTACTAGTGAACACAAAGTATGAGATTGGGATGTTGGAAGCACAGCATAATTTCACTGCTGATTTTTCCGATCGACTTTTAGCCATGTTCTTTAAGAATATTTTTCCATCCATTTTGAAAATATTGATAATCTTTGCACTCTGAGAGTCGGCTTGTTTGTTTTCTGCTATGGCGTGTGTAAATCTTGTCTTTCTTTTTACCGAAAAGTGAATACTGCCCGCTTTCGGTAACAATAAAATCGCAGTTTTTGTAGAATACCGCCTGCTCACGAACTGAGAAAAAAATAGGGTTGGATATTAAACTCATTGTTTTTTAGTATTTCGTAAGATCTCGACTCTGTCTCGGTCCATAAAAACGCTAAAAAGGAACTCGGCCAACTTGGTTAATAACTCATTTTCGAGTGCAATTTGGTGTAAAATAGGCATAAACAAAATCTTCAAAGACAAAACATCAAAGTTGTTCTCTTATCATCAGTTACCAAAAAACTATGACAGACGGAACAAACGTGGAGCTTGTGAAATAATACAGACTTCAGTTGGTTCAAAAAAAGCAGCATAAAATTCCGCATCTTCTCTCTTTATTATTAAAAGAGCAGTAAAAGGCCTCTTTACTGTCACTTAACAAAAAGTTAACTAGCCTGGGTAGCCTGCAGGAGCGGTCAGCGGGTGCATTAGTCATCATCCAATCCTTCGTGGTATATTTTTTGAAGCGTTTGATAAAAGAGGTAAACAGATATAAATTGAAGAACGACTGAAATTTAAGATTCATTTATCAGCTGATATTCAGCCGATATTCAGACACCAAACGGTTGAAATAGTTGGAGATTAATGAGTTGAAGAAACTTGCATTTATCTACCCGTTGATGCCTCTGGAAAAGAGCGAAATTGATAAGCTATGTAACTCGACGACAGCGTTCGTAACTGAACTCACCGACCTAGAATTTTAAACATGATTTTTTAACTTAAACCTACTGCAACACAGTAAGCATGGCTTAAATCGATAACTTCTATTTACGTAACAATTGATGAGTCTCAGCCAGAAAGGAACGTTGTCATTCTAAGCCACGTACGGTACCCGGAAGTGAAATGTTTCTTCCGTTCGCTCGTATCACAAGGTCTGTGTACGTCTGTAGTATCAAGCAAGGTCTCTCCAAATGACAGGCCTGGTGTGGGTTGATACCGCCAATTCTGTATCTGCAGTGAATTGTCAAAAGTTAACATCCCAATGGCTCGAGTAAGCGTTTGTCCTTTAAAGAATATCAAAGCTCTCAAACTAGTTAACATATTGAAAACTGTGCCTCGCAAATTGCTATGATAGAATATTACTCACGCGTGGAAATTACTTACCGGGTATACTACAACTGCGATCCAACAGGGCATTTTTCATCGATGAAACATAATTTAACAAACCTTATCAAACGGACACCGCGTGTAGAGCGGAAATGTGCCCATCAGCCGTTGTAATCGTTCTCAAAGCATGGGATGGAAATTATCACTGAAGGCGAGCTTGTCTTTGTCAAATAAGTAGGTACTTTTGGTGAATAAAAGCAAAGTGCGACGGCACATTCAATCACGACGAGGCGAACTCTGGGAGTTTCTGACCTAAATGTGTTTGCACGTGCGTTCCGGGGAAATCCTGCGACATCATCATGTTTCGCCTCCATCCGCGATGCTAACTTTGGTCGAATTGTCTGAGTTGTAAACTGAAAAACGTACTCTTGCGTGTACCAGAGAATACTTGAGAGTAGTTCTACTCAAACCACATCGTTCATATTCTATTTCATCTTGACAACGGTCCATCCACGAAATTTTGTTGCGGAAGAGTTCAAGATAAATCATTCAATAATAAGCTTCAAGCCTTTACTTGAGCTTATGAATTAACGTATCAGTCTTTATTTCATAGATACTGAGATTTACACACGACAAAAAGCCCGCGTAAAACTAGTACGTTAAATCCATTAGCCAATAGGAAACGCGAACGATGAATTTTCAGTAGTGAAAAAACGTCCTTCGCCCAATCACAAACGCGAACGACGGAAATTCACTGGTGCACAATCGTGGCCCGCGAGTTTCACTCCGACTCTTGAATCCAACATGGCTAGTTCAAGGTTTGCTTCTTTGGAAGGTTCCATTGAGACTTTTATAGAAGAACAAGAAAACCAGAATACAGTGAAGAAAACGAAACGAGACGTTGCCTTGTTTACAGAGTTCCTTAAAAAAAAAGGAGAAGCACGAAGTGAAATAGCTGAAATTCCTCCTGCCGAGCTGAATGAACTTTTGAGTGAATTCATTCTAAGCGTTCGCACAAAAGAAGGACAAGATTACGAAAAAGCATCAGTGGAAGAGAATCAGAGTATCCAGCGACTTCGATGATGACTAAGTTATGTACACTGTAAGTTTGCCTTGAATTTTCATGAAAGTTGCAGACTGTTTTTGACTGATATCGGTTAAGGTTTGCATTGTGTTATTCAGCGTAAAAGCGTATGACGCTGCGTGTTTTCATGATTTAGTGACATTCTGATTTACGACATTTATGACTTGTAAATCTAAATCAAATTTTTTTCTCTAAGAGTTGTCATTTACGTCTACATGTTTGGATTTGTTATCTTCATTAAACATTTCAAAAGACAAAGAGAACTTTATATTTTAGTTTATAATAGCAATTGAATGGGTTTTCTAAACATGCGCGCTCAAACTGATAAAATTGACCAGCAATTTTTCTTTTCAAACATCGCAATATCTATAAAATAAACAAATTACACCATCGAAAATGCTTTGTACGATTTTATTCAATCGGTGAGGAGCATCAGAAAACTCACCCGTTCCCAGCGCTCACTCGTTCGTTTTCTGATACTCCTGAACTCGTGAATCAAAATCGTACGCGCGCATTTTCCATGGAGTAACCTCTATACCCTTAGGGGTAATGACAGTTGAAATAACAAGTGAAATAAATGTTCAAAACCACATTTCATCCAAGAATTCGAAATGCTGTAGCAGATAAATAAACTTCCTCGCTATTCGCGGTAGTGCTCAAATGAAACTCAAAAGAAGCAGAAAAACAGGAAGTGAGAGTCCGCATCAGAAGATGGCGCTGACCAACAGAATTGTGGCTCCGAAGTGTTTTTGACCACACAGTGCCCATGCGTTTGGGATACTATAGCCTGGGCTGTTTTACCATAAGGAGGACGGAGGTTCAGGTGAGGTATATATAAACTTCTCAATCTTTCATCTTAAGATCAGCGAGGAAGATGGAGCATATCATTACCCGCCACATGCAACCGGTAAAATTTGGGAGGAGTTATTTCCTGTCACGAGATGCGACAGATGTCTCTAATATGATAATGCAGGAAACTGCAATCACAAAGAAATGATAAGGCTAAGAGGGTATTCAAAAAGAAATTCCCGTTCCAAATAGGTGTGCATGGTTACAATAGAAAACCATGTTATTGGATAACTG